TTGCGAGTTATATCTTTTGGATCAAGAAAACGTTGAGCTTTCTAGTTAGGATTATTTGAAAGGATTTGAAAGAAACAGAGCAAAGATATGTTTTTGTCTAGTAGACGTGGCCAGATCTGAGACGTGGAAACTGTGTAAAGCAACGGTGACGATCTTCCGTTCTATAGCTTACCATTTTACTTAGCTTTTTTTTAGCTCCAATACTGAGAGACAAGAAGAACGCAAAAACATGGCGAATACAGTGGCCGGTTTATCTCCGGTTTGGGCTCCGATTTCTTCTCCGATAAGAACTAATCGGAATCCAGTCAGTTTCTACAAGCCTCGTCTTCCTCTCTCGTACAAGCAAAACCCTATATCGACTCTTCATAGGTCCCAAGCTTAATTTTCTCTTTCTCCGTCACGTTTCCTTTCGTGGGTCTGATCTCAATTTCTCTTCGCTTCTCGTAAATCTTCGAAATATGCATCCTTTTGGTTTCTCTTCAGGTCGAGAACTGCTCGTGTTAAAGAGGTAGCACCCAAGCAAAGGAATTGGTTATTCTCTGTTTTTGGGTCTCTCACCGATGGTTCTGGGTTAAACCCAGAAGAAGAAGAATCAAAGGATTCCTCAGAGGTATCAATGAAACTGTGTCTTAATGGTGTTTGTGTCTCTGTCTTTCTCGCTGAGCTTTTTGCTACTTCAGGAACAGGTTGCTTCAATAGATATTAAGCTACCGAGAAGAAGTTTGCTTGTGGAGTTTAGTTGCAATTCATGTGGAGAAAGAACAAAGCGGCTTATCAATCGGTTGGCATATGAACGTGGTCTTGTCTTTGTTCAGGTAAGGTCTTAATTTTGCTGCTTGATTCTGTTTCCTATAGCATGATCAACCTGCGCACACCACATGTTTGCTTAATTGTCCAAGAGAGATGCAAAGTGTGACAAAAAAGATAGCCTTTTTTTTGGTTGGTTGATTGCCATTTTTGTTCCTTTGGCAGTGTGGAGGATGTCTTCGGCATCACAAACTGGTTGACAATCTTGGTCTCATTGTTGAGTACGACTTCCGAGAAACCTCCAAGGATTTGGGTACTGATCAAGTTTGATAAGCTAGATCGAATGTTGAATCAAAGATTTTGTTCTTTTTCTCAGATATGTTCTTTTAAGCATGATTAGAAGTAAGCTATTTTCCGCAAAGAATAGAGTAAAGAATGTATTATTTTTGAATCATTGTGTCGGTATACATGGGAAAAAAATGTAGCTGTTCGAGTTGGTACATCTGTGATTATCATGAGAGCTTGAAATTCTAGGCTGTCATAGCCAGCAGAAAAAGAATTCCCAGTGCGGTATTGAGCCACATTCCTAGTCTTCCTTCCAGCTGATTTAAGGCATTTCCTCCATTCTGTAAACCAAATGTTAAAGAAGATGGTTATAATCGAAGCTTATACAGAAGTATGGCAGTGATAGTTAAAACTTTTATCTTCATGCAATATGGTGACCCTGTATTTCTTTCAAGATTCTTGTTTTATTATGAAATTGTTACCGCATTCTGAGATGGGGATGGTGCTGGAGCCGTATCCTGGGAATCTGTCAAAACTGGAGGAGATGGAGGGCTTGGGGGAGTTGGTGCTGGAGCTGGGGCATGGTGATGCCTTTTGTGTTTGTGCTTTCTCTTGTGCTTTGCAGGAGCCGGTGCTGGTGGCAAACTTATTGGTGTAGGCGCTTGTGCAGGTGGCGGTGAAGCTGGCGCGGGTGGTGGAGAAGTAGGTGCAGGTGGTGGTGAAGCTGGTGCGGGTGGGGGAGAAGTCGGTGCTGGAGGTGGTGATACAGGTGGCGGTGAGACGGATGGAGCTGAAACAGGCGGGCTTTGTGGTGGTTGTGGAGGCGGAGTTGCAGGACTGCTTACTGGTGCAACTTTTGGAGCCGGTGATGAAGTTGGCGTAACTGCTGGTGGAGGTGTAGCCGGAGATACTGGCGGCGGAGTAGTTGCAACGGGTGGAACAGTGGTGGTTGGAGGAACAGCTGTGGTTGGAGGAGGAGCAGTGGTTGGAGGAGGAGCAGTGGTGGTTGGGGGAGGAGCAATTGTGGTTGGGGGAGGAGCAGTGGTGGTTGGAGGTGGAGCAGTGGTAGTAGAGGTCGCCGGTGAAGCGGCAGGTCCTTGGGCATTGACACTAAAGGGAGAGATGAGAGCAGAAGCTAATAGAAGAGACCAAATGATTGAATTTGAATCCATTGTGTAGAGGTGGAAGTTGCATAGAAACAATTGGTGAAGTTATTGTGCATATAAAAAAGCTTAAGGGACATTGAGATTTCTTGAAGTATGAATGAAAAAGTTTGGTGCAACGATGGGTAGGTGGTTTAAGAGATCCAGTCTTCATCAGAATGCTACGTTGCTTCTAACTGTTTGACAATAGCTATAATTCCAGGCCATTATTACGTACTAATCAAATAAATGTCCCCAATAATAATCTGCTTTTGTAATTATAACTTTGTTAATCACCAAATAAATGGGACCGATGCTTCCTTCGGACCTATAACTGGTAAGGAGTCTTGATCAGTATTAAGAGAGGTTGGTTAAATAAAAATTGAATTAGGAAAATAAAACATGTTGTGCATAATGTTACAATCAATGGCATTACAATGAACCAACCTGGTCTTCAGATTTGACAAATGACAACATTTTGTGGACAGAAATATACAACTTTCAACATATCAGATGCAAAACTGGTTCTTGGCTAGGCTGCGTTAAACATACATTAACACTGCGGCTTGTAAGTAAAGCTTCTACAGACAGAAGAAGGGTAAGACTTGATGCATCTTGTTGAGGAGTTTCGAAGGGTGATGATGATCGGTAGGAGCGGGAGGATCTGAGTTCTTGTCTTTCTTCTTTCTCCTCAGCTGGAAAAACTGTTGCATTGTCTGAGCACATTCTGATTCGAGAACTCCGCGTCGGATTGTCATCTTAGGATGGAATGGATGAACTGGAGGCGGTGGCTTTTCCGAAACCTCTGATCCATTACCTTCGCCTCCAGGGAAGAGCCTGAAACATACATTTGTTCAATGATTTTGACTCTGCAATGTTCCAGAACATTTTTCAGTTTCAGAAGTTGTCAGTACCTGATCCAGCTGCCATCTGCTCCAAGAAGCTTATTGGGAGCACCCCACACAAGAGTGTTGACCCTTGCTTGAAGTATTGCTCCCGCACACATTGGGCATGGTTCTAGTGTTACATAGAGCGTCGTATCCTGTCGGGAGAATAAGCAAGTTATTGCAAAGAGCTTCCCTATTGATCCATGTTATCAAACTCTGACTAGTGGTTGTTGAGATCATTTCATTTTAACTTCCCCAAAAAATCAAACATCAAAGCACCAAAACTTAAAAGTCCTACTGTTATGCTCATGTACTGTTGCTGCTATTGCAATGTAACAAAGACGTATATTTCAGTTCACCATGAGCATGAGGGAGGTGTCTAAGAGAGCGAGAGAGAAAAGATTACCGCGAGCCTCCATGAACGTAGTACTTTGGAACCCTCACGAATGCAAATCATTTCTGCATGGGCAGTTGAATCCCGAAGATCCTCTACTCTGAAACACAAGACTATGGTTAGATGAATCCAACGTGATAATAGAGAATGAAAAAGGGTTCAAAGAAAATTAAACTTACAGGTTAAAACCCCGAGCGATAATCTTCCCGTCGTGTACAAGCACAGCCCCAACAGGTACCTCCCATATATCAGCAGCTTTCTTAGCTTCTACTAACGCTTCCCTCATGAATATTTCATCAACTGTTCGCCTCTCAGCGTCTACTCTGTATGCTTCTTCCCACTCCTCAAAACTGTCTCTCACAACTTGTTTGTTCCTCTGAAGTTTCCTTTGTATTAATGCAGAGTCTGTCGGCGTGGAACCTGTTTCTCCCTGGGACTTTGCACTTAGAGGTTGTTGTTGTTCCACCTGCTCTCTTAGGCTACTACTGCCAGATACTATGGTGGGACGGGATATTGAAGGTTCCTTTACAACTGGAGACCTTACGTTTCGACCTGGAAATGGTAACGGCTTCTGTACTGCATCAATTTCAGGAACACGGGCCTGGTAGTGTCTTCCTTCTCCCACAGTAACAATTTGATCACTAGATACCTCGGTGGGACTAGATTCTGATGGTTCCTTGATAGCAGGAGATCTTTTCAGGTTTCGACTAGGCAGTCTCATTGGCACCTCTGTCGAAGCTGTTTCAGATAGACGAAACTCAAAGTCTATGCCTTCTTTTTCATCCACGCCAACGATTTGATCACCAAATGTAGAAGGCATGTGATAGGATGCAGAGCCACCTTCTAATATTGTGGAAGTTGGCGATGATACTACACCTTCATGCCTCCCAGATTGCTGCTTCAGCTTCGTAGCGTTGGAAAATTCAAATTGGCTCCCTGGAGAAGTTTGACCAACCTCCAATTGTTGTGGGGAAGCAGCTTCTTGTGGCAAAACTCTATCCCCTTTTGTGTTATCTTCACTGCTTCCGTCATGTTCACGTCCAGAAAACCACATTGCACTGCTAACTGACTCGCTGGGTGAACTCTTTCCAGCAGGCTTTGCACTCGAGTCAGGGCTTACAGCTCGTGGGCCCCACCTTAGCCGAGCAATATCGGCTATAACGCTCCACAAGGACCTACCATTTCTTTTGAAAATAGCATTTCCCTCTGCTGCATTGCCTTCTGCGGCTCCTGGTTGAGGAGTTCCCTGAGCAGAATCTGTGACCCACATTTCATCTGAAGGTCCCTTTGCTCCTGAACCACTAGATGTTCGCTTTGAGTCCCGCCTCTTCAACTGATTGCTTTCAGCTATTTGCTCCTCAGTCTCCGGAGTTGATGCTTCATGCTTGGCCTTTTTCACAAACTCCCCAATAAGTTTCTCTGATGACTGTTCCAACCGCTGGGCAGAACCCAAAGCATCTCCGTGTGATGTAAATCTCATTAGTTCTCCAGCAGACTGACTACTTACAAAAGCTCCTGCTCCTGGATTTTCAAAGGCTGTGGGATAACCAGTTTCTGAAGTTCCATGGGAAATTTCTTGAATTGAAGCTCCCCCAGTTCCATAATTTCTCCGTGAGCCTCTGCTTACCAGCTGAGACGAAGGAGGAATTAGTGTTGTTTCAGATCCTTGCATCTCCTCTGAAACCAGATCTACCAGCTGCTTTCTATTCCCCGAGACCAAAGTCAAAGATGATTGTGAACTTGAGGCCTCTTCAGATAGCTTTTCCTGAGAACTTTGCAACCTTAAGGCCTCTTGACCTTCTTTTGCCGAGTTAGCATGATCTTGCTTAGAGTCATTCCATGCACCACTTTTTTCGGCTTTGCTATTATCCGATTGCGCAATTGTAGTACTTCCTTGACCAATATGCCTCTGCTCAGATTTTCTCTTAATTTCAGTATACTTTACTGTATCACTAGTATGAGATACAGACACCGAAGTTCTGTCAGATTGCATCTTTTGCGAGGGATTTTGTTCAATACGATAATCTTGCTGCCTCCCTTCTGACTGCAAACCAGAAACCAAACCAGCATCTACTTCTTGGTTTCTAATCCGGTCTTCGCTTTGCGATACATATGTATTTCTGATGTCCATGTCATGAATTTCTGAATGTTGAGAGAAGCGTTCAGTACTCATTCTCATACCAGCTTGATTAGATATCCTTTCTTCTACTTGAGGTTGCTGATTAATTGTCGCCTCTGGAAAATTTTGGGGCGCCTTTATACCTTCCTCCTGCCTACTGCTATAGTTGGTTCTTCTCCGCAGTTCAGACACTCTTTCCTCACTGCTATAACGAGTCCCCAATCTTTCCTTCAGTTGCTGCTGAGAACTCTCTATGTTTTCATTTCCAGAATCATTGTGAATCGTGTGGACTCTATCGTCCTCCCTTTCACTAAAAATCTTTACATTTTGGGAATTGGTCTCCGCATCATTAACATGGATCTCATGAATTTCCATATCTTCTTCATAATTTCCTGTCGATTCAGACACTCTACTACCACTTTGACTAAACCGCTTTCTTCTTCTCTGGTTCAAAGTCAGTGCCTCATTTGAAGTTTCCTCTTCCTCAAAATCCTGCTTGCGATAGCTCGAACTCGCTCCATTAGCCCTCTCGTCTCTCTTTCTCCTCGAATGCACCTGAGAGGCTTCCTTTCTAGATTTCATTCCTTCGGTTGACTGTTCAACAAACTTCTTCCCTGAACTTCTCAAGTTTTCACGATGAAATTCCACATCATCGTCCTGTTCTTCAGTATCGCTCTCGAAATCCCCAGAAGAAGCAAGGGAATAATACGATGAACAACTCGAACTCTTTGTCCTTGTTGGTCTAACTTCTCTTTCTTCCTTCCCCCTATAAGTCTTTCCAATGTAGTCATCACCAGTAACCAACTTAGAACCACGCCGGGAGTTACTCTCCAGCTGAGAGTTTTTCTTTCTCCTCCCACAATGTTCACAATCATTTATCTCCTCTAATTTCACATCTTCCTTAATCCCATTTCTCCTATATTCCTCTCTACCTAATCCCTCCCTCTCGATTTTTCGAGAAACTCTCTCATTACCAGAAGTATCTCTTCCTTGAACTTTAACCTTTCTCACATTTCCACCATACCTCACCATCTTCCTCTCTACAACTCTACTAACAGAGTTACATTTTCTCTCCTCATTTACCAATTCCTCACTTAAAAACGAAATCATAGCTTCTACATCATCAGAACAACTTCTACTACATTCTTCTTCACAAGCCCTAACCCTAAATCCCCTATTTCTTCCAGTACCACCACAAGAAGAATAAACCTCAGAGTCACAACAATGCACATCGACCCCACCAACACCAACCAGTAACCGCCTAGGCCATTGGATAAGGGTCGATTGTCTAAGCCCATAAAGCACAAATCCAGGGTTTATCGATACCTTAGGCTTAACAAAGGAAGAAGATGGTGTTGAACAGCAGCATGAGCGTGAGCGAGAACTCACACAGCAACATCTCGAAGATGGTTTCGAAAGTTGGTAACTTTCAGATCTTTCAGGGAGTAAAGAGCAGTAATCTTGGTAACCCTTACTTCTAATCGACCATAGAACTGAGTTTGAATATGTATTGAACATATTTGTCGAGAGAGAG